ACTTTCTCCATCTGAAATGCAGAAGATGTGAAATCCATGGTGTTAGCTTGCTCTGGGAATCTGGAGGCCATACACTGCAATCACACAGCTCTCATTGTAGTGAGGGCACTCATCCCTGAGCAGAAACTGGCCAAGACCCAGGTCTGCATCCTACTGCTTATGAGTAGGAACATAGGACTGGAAGGGGCCTCCTGGACTATTGGGTCCATTCCCCTGCATTTACAGGCCATTTTTAACGCAAGGCATCCCCAAAACTTACACACAACAACAAGGCACAACACATGACACACCAAAAACATCCATAAACGTGTTACAGGGAAAAGCAGCGGAGACAAGGGCACTAGCAATGCCTAATGCTGAAACGATGAGGGAGTAGTTCATTAGCATGTGCAAAGAAGATCCTAAGAAAAGAACCGCACCTACAGAGGAAAGCAATTCCTTCACCTCACCCTCCACATACACAGTCTGTATCAAACTGCTGGGGAAAAAATTACTTCCTGACCCCAAATGTGGCCATTAGCACGACCATGAGAACAGCAGGACTCTAGGCAGGAATGTCTGAATTGTTTTAAGTACTGAAAGGAACATAAATATATTTCAATCAGCCTTTGTCCCCACCTTAGCTGTGGCCAATGAATCAATGTACAGGCAGTCCTCGGCTTACGTTTCGAGTTACAACGTTTTTCACTTACAACATTTATAAATTGACACCCTGTTTTAACTTTGTGACGTCAGTTTCGACGTTACAACGCTTGATCCAATGCCAAGCCACGCCAGCAAACAAGTTTGCTGCTTCACCCATCTCCCTGGAGAACATCCTTGGGCATTTTCTTTAAGAAAGCAGACGAGACTCCAGAAAAACCTGCAGCCAAGACTCCTGAGAAGACTCCAGCCAAAAACCCTTCAAAAAGTCCAACCAAGAGCCCTTCAAAAAGTCCAGCAAAGTTACTTCAAAGAAGTCCTTCCAAATCAATCTGATTGCTATTTACAATACAAATACATTAATGTAGCTATATTACTCGTCTATAATTGATTGAGTACAAAATTCTGGATTATTTTGGGGGAAAACAGGGTATCAGGCCTTGGTTCAGGAACCATTCCTCCATTTATAACATTGTTTCCTATGGGAAAATTGGTTCCGAGTTACAACATTTCAACTTAAGATGCTGTTTTCAGGAATCAAATGTGTTGTAAGTCCGAGGACTGCCTGTATTCTAAGGCGGTGAAAAAAATAAAACAAAACAAAACCAAACAGAAGCAAGTAGCATTTGGGACAAAAGGGAGGAATTCCCCAACTGATGACAAGCAAAAGCCCTCAGGCATAGAGTCACCAAATACCTTCCATACCAGAAGTGCTACCTTATCTCCCCAGCCTGGGGACCAGAAACACATGCCACATTACACTCACTGAGTTAAACCAGGACTCCCTGTCCAATTCCACTACCCCCATCCATAAATTTATTCAGTTCAAATCTTGAAGCGATTCAAATCCCTAAACTAAGTGTATATTAAAACAGAATCAGCAGAGGTATAAATTCAATATAAGCTGCATAAAAGTATGCCAAAAACTGAATCATGGAAGCAGCGTACTGTTGGACATGTACAGGCCCTCTCCAATACAGCCATACTTACTGTCTTATTTCCTTTTTATGATCCAAGTTATGATCATTTGGATCCCTCTTGGCCAAGGAAGCCTGAAAGCCGAGGTTCTTTTAATTAAAAATGAAACAAACAAAAAGTATTTGATTAATTGAGATATACAATATATAATGGATGACAATTTTATCTAAAAGTGAATGCAACTGAAGCCAAGAGAAATGTAAGAACAGGAGACTTGTCCCAGATTATTTTGTTAATTTATGGTTCTGCCAGATTTATAGGACTTCCAACAACATTTTGGAGAAGTCAAATGTTGATCATAAACAACTCCTATGCTTAAGCACATGCACAGTGATAACAAGGAAGACATCCTGAGTTTGATGGTGGTGAGTGTTTCTCAATGGCAGCTGGATTTCCAGTCCTCATAGTAATATACCTCATTAATAAACTTAATGAAGAAAATCAGAACCCTTAAAAGGTCATACAGAGGTTTAGAAGGTGTATAGTGGCTTTGTCAAGCTGAATAAACTTCTCCATGTCACTACAGCACTGCAGATATCTATCAAGCCACAATGGAAAGCAATAAGAAACAGCTTGAGAACATAAAACAATGGACAGCAGCACGGAGGGAAAGCAACAAAAGATATTAAATCTGTGCAATTCTGCTTGGAACCTCAGAGTGCTATTGTAATATAAACAGTGCAAGCACAGCACATTTACTCTTAGTAACTGGACAGTGGTTAAAGTCACTTCCCCTTGCCATTAACAGAGCAAGTTACTGAAACTCTACCAATTCTGCCACTCAGAGCAACTCTGAAAGAACACTCAGAAGCCTGAAATGCAAGTGATAGTGTTTAGCACGGCTTTTGTTCTTCTGGATTGCTACCTTCTGCCATATTGTTCACATGGAAAAGTTACCTTGCCTCCCTGCTAGGATTAAAAAATAAAAGCAACATTAGCACTAAGGGCATCAACACAGTGGTTACTACCCAGGTAGCTTTATTTTCTTTTGAAACAGTATGACAAACTGCTTTTCTTTAAAAAAAAAAAAAAATCTGGTTTGAACAGCCACAGCAGTAAGTGGAAGACATTCTGAAATGGTGTTTTCCCTGTGTTTCTCTCCCTCTCATTTCACAGCTTCTTTCAAGAGTCTCTAGGTGGCAGGAAAATGCAATTTTTTTTCAGAGGCAGCCAAGTTTTATTGAACAACTGCAGTGCAAAGGCTTAACTGGCTATATACATGAAGCAGCAATGTAAGGATATATGACACCAAGCTGGGGGGTGTAGTAGATGCACTGGAAGGTAGGGCTAGGATTTGGGGTGACCTAGACAAATTGGAGGTTTGGGCCAAAAGAAATCTCATGAGGTTCAACAAGGGTAAGTGTACAGCCTGGGGACTGACTGGCTAAGCAGCAGCTCTTCAGACAAGGACCTGGGGGTTACAGTGGACAATAAAACGGATACAAGTCAGCAGTGTGCCTTTGCTGCCAAGAAGGTTAACGGCATACTGGGCTGGATTAGGAGTGTTGCCAGCAGATTGAAGGAGGTAATTATTTCACCTTATTCTACACTAGTGAAGCCACATCTGTAGTACAGTGTCCAGTTTTGGGTCCCCCGCTACAGAAAAGAAGTGGACAAATTGGAGAGAGTATAGCAGAGACCAACGAAAATGCTAAGGGGGCTGGGGCATATGACTTATAAGGAGACACTGAGGGAACTGGGTTTATTTAGTTTGGAGAAGACAGAGAAGGGAGTTTATAGCAGCCTTTACCTACCTGAAGGGGGGTTCCAAAGAGGATGGAGCTAGACTGTTCTCAGTGGTGGCAGATGACAAAAAAAGGAGCAATGGTCTCAAGTTGCAGCAAGGGAGGTTTAGGTTGGATATTAGGAAAAACTCTCTCACTAGGAGAGTGGTGAAGCACTGGATCAAGTTACTTAGAGAGGTGGTAGAATCTCCATCCTTGGAGGTTTTTAAGGCCTGGCTTGACAAAGCCCTGGCTGAGATGATCTAGTTGAGGATGGTCCTGCTTTGAGCAGAGGGTTGAACAAGATGACCTCCTGAGGTCCCTTCCAACCCAGTGGACTCCAAGATGAACATGAGTCATCAGTGTGACAAAGTCATCAGCAAAAGCTAACTGCACTTTATCATGCATCAGCAGATGCATGACAAACAGAACCAAGGAGGTGATACTTCCCCTCTATCGGGCGCTGGTCAGACCGCAGTTGGAATACTGCGTCCAGTTTTGGGCGCCACACTTCAAGAGGGATGTGGATAACCTGGAGAGGGTCCAGAGAAGGGCCACTCATATGGTTAAGGGCTTGCAGGCCAAGCCCTACGAGGAGAGACTGGGGCACCTGGACCTCTTCAGCCTCCGCAAGAGAAGGTTGAGAGGCGATCTTGTGGCTGCCGATAAATTCAACATGGAGGTGCAGAAGGGAATTGGTGAGGCTCTACTCACCAAGGTGCCCCTGGGGGTTACAAGAAATAATGGCCATAAGCTAGCAGAGAGCATTTCCTGCCTATGCAGGGGGTCAGACTTGATGACCTATTGAGGTCCCTTCCGGCCCTAACATCTATGAATCTATGAACCTTAACTGTCTATGATTCTACGATATATCACACTTTTACCACATACTGGTACTTTATAGAAACACTGAACAGTTAATATCCCTAGAGGCCACACAGCCCTTTGAAGTTTGAAACTTTTACTGACCATACATTATTGATTTTGCAAGAAACAGGATTTATTTGGTCAAATCTTTTATTGGACTAACTGTATAGTAGAGAGAGACATTAGGCAAGTTTTCAGACACAAAACACCCTTCCCTCAGGTTGCCTGAGGTCACCTGATATCACCAAATAAATCCTACTTCTTACATATTATCTGGACCATCACAGCTACAACACAACATTAATTTTGACCTGTACTGGTAAGTTGCATATTAGCTGCAAAGTAAGGAAGCCTTTTAGAAAACAATCATTTTAATTTGCTTTAACATCATCTTATCCTTTCATTGAAAAGTTAAAAAAAGTTAAAACTTACCTGTATAATTTTTATAATATCTCGAGGTCCGATAATTTCAGGATCAAACTGGACATGAGCTTTGCAAGTTGCAAGTGCCACTGAAGCATATAAAATGCCATTAGTTTTAGTTAGTTTGGATTCAATGTTGTGGACACAGGAAGCACAAGTCATCCCTGTAATCTAAAGAGCAGACTGCAGTTAGTGGTCTGTGAAGCAAAGAGCAGGCTCCACTCTCAACACTCATGCTGAGATGGAACTGGTAAGTAGTTTTCTTGCCAGCAGTGCTGCTGTTGGTTGACACTAACAAGATTAAAAAGATGAAACACACAAGTGCATGCACCAGTGGTTGTAGAGATTTATCATTTATACTAATTCAATGAACACCCAGAAAGCATAAAGCTTATACAATTTATGGGCATTTCTCCTGAGCCTTTACTGTCAAAATGTACAAATGCAAATTAAATTGGCCCACTTGAGAGAAACCAGAAGAAAAATCACAGGTTCTACAGCAAAAGGTGTTTGGGTTTTAAGAGATTAATTCTGTTAGTTTTGAACAAAAGCCTCAGCATGAAGATCCTACCAAGTACTGTGCAGTTGGAGGGACCATCTTATAAATGGTGTGTAAAATGGAGGCATTGTTATTACTTAAGATCTCATAACACTTTTCATGGAGCAACTAGGTTACCTAGAGGTGTATTTTGGATTGGCACCATTAAAAAGGGAAATAACATTATCAGCTATTGGCTTTTTTGGCCATTGTAGCAATAATGTTTTCCGATAATTATGTCTTCTGGCCAGGGCCCTGGATGCCTGGGTTCCCTCCCACAAGCCAGGGTGACCCCAGATGCACACCCATCCCCAAATCAATGGGCCGGGTCAGGCTGGAGCGCAGTGGAGTGGAACAGCTGCGACAGTGTTGCACGTGCTGGCGCAGCATGGGCTGCGGATTGGGGCAGGCACTGTAAAAGGCGCTGAATGCCACAAATATGACTGGGGTGGGGAGCAGCGGGCAGAGTTACCCAGCCCAGCATAAGTCAACCCACAGTGCCAAGGGGGTCCGAGTCTATTCAGTTGCCCGAGTGGGGCATAGGGGCTTGCCCTGCCCTTGGCAGCAGCAGGAGGCGAAAGGTCCCTTCCCCAGCTGAAGTCCACCTCCTAGGACCTGGGGTCCAGCTGCAGGGAAGGAGTGGCCTGGTTTGTCCAGGCCTAGAATGGTCCCGTGGCCATGCCCTGGGCAGAGGGAGGAAAGCGGGGAGCCTGGCCCAGAGACCATCCAGCCCTGGGCAGCCAGGAAGGCTCACACTTCCCCATCAGCCCTGCTGGACAGGCTCAGGCAGCTACTCCTGGGCTGGGGTTCAAAGGCATTATGTGGAAGAGCAGGGGCTGAAGGGCTGTGCACAGTCAGTAGGGTTACTAACCCTCCTGGATTGGCTGGGAGTCTACTGGAATGGGCATCCATCTCCCGGTGACTATTGAAAGAAATCCAGGAGATTGATATTGTGAATGAGTTGAACAGTACAATTAATGACATTATGTCATGTTGGAAAAAAAAAATCTCCCAGAATAGCTTCAGTCAGAGTTGGCAACCTTAACAGCCAGTCACAGGCACTGCTAGGCAAACCCTGTCTGCTGCAACTGGCACGGGTACTTTTATATGTGCTCCAGGAGTGGGGGGCAGTGCTTTATTTAGAGCAGCTCCGAGTCCTGCTCTAATTAAAGTGCTGCTGCATCTCCTGTATCACCATCCCCACTGGTGGTGGGGGCACTTGAACTAAAGCTCATTCGTGTGTGTGTGTGTGTGTGTGTGTGTGTGTGTGTGAGATAAATGTAAAACAAGCAAAAAAAAAAAAAAGGTTTATGTCAGTAGTTTAAAATGCCTTGCATGTTTACTAAGTATTGGTTAGCAGGTCAGCATTGGCCAATATGGTTGGTTAATAATCACTATTGGCCAAAAAAATCTTTATCAGTGCACCCCTAATGTTAACAATGCTGTAGCCAAACCCTACCTGGGAAGTACCCTCTTGTACTTTCAATAAGGTACACTTCCATTTTCTGTTCTAGCTGTTACTACTAAATGGAAACCACTTTCTCTCAAGGAAGTAGCTATATTTCAGAGACTGGAAAGAGTTCTGCTGGCTAAAGCTGTATAGAAACTTGGATTTTTGGATAAAAATGTCAGACACTATTATTATGCATTTAATTAACAGTATTTTGCCCATAAAATATAAGCAAGTCTGAAGATGTGTTTTAGTGATGTTTTACAGCCTAAGGGCTCCTCAGAGGTATGCAAAAAAAAAATCTTTGGATGATTGGTGAACTAACTGCACCAAGCACATGCCTGTCCCTTTAATGTAATTAATTTGGTCTGAAGAATAACGAAAGAAGCAACATCATTACCTGGAGTCAACACTGTTCAACTTCCCCCCCTCCCTTAAAACAGATATAGCTGCAAGAAAATTGCTTCTGTTAAATATACAAAACAAGCCACAAAAAATAATTTCATATCCACATTACTCACAACAAGCTCCATTCTCCCTTCTTCATCAGCCTGATCTTCTATGACTGTAGCATCGAAGCCCAAATTCTGGATCAGCTGTGCTATTTCAAGAGGCTGTATGCTGTCTGGCTTGTATTTTATCTCTGCTTTACCTGCCATCAAAGCTACAAGCACTGAAACAATACCTGCAATGGCAATAGTGCCATTATATTAGAAACTCTCTTTCCTTTCCTTTGAAGAATATATAATACAAGAGATAATCAACATGTGCCACAGTGGAGAAATCAGGGAACCTTTAATGGTTTTAAAATTTCCCTCACTCCTTCCCTTCAGGGTTATTCCTTGAGCATAATTGTCAAGAAGGAACAAAAACTTATGTTTCTATTTCACTTAATAAGTAGTTTTCTTTTACAGAGATTTGTTTAATTCCCATTAGAATGACTTGAACAGAAGAATCAGACTGGGATCCCAGTGGGTGAGATGTCAATAGGTTTTGAATCAGGCCCTGTAAGCCTGGAAAGCTTCTAGCATGAGAAAGAAGAGAATCTGCAATTCAGTGTAGAGTCACAAAGCAAAGACAGAATATTTGATACATGTGAATTATTAATAGAAATATTATAACTTTTTCTCCAGTGTTAGAGTTGGGAGCTGAAAAATCAGTAAGCAAAGGCCTCTAAAAGGTTAAAGGCCTCTCAAAAGTCTGTTTTAGCGCTCTCACAGTATTGGGGTAGAATTGATGCATGTATTCATAAGAATTTAAAAGGACTCCTAAGAGCACAAGTAGCTGTAAGGTAGGCTGAATGAAAGCTTTATTACAACTGTGACCATATTAAAGTAATATCAAATTCCAGGAATTTGTACAGACATCAGGTATACTTGTCAACTGGCAAGCTCACCAGTAGATTTAGTATAGCAGTTCATCCTAATTAGGAACTACTTAAATATGTAAGAAAAAAATATTAATTACACTTAACCTCAAGAACACACTTTGTATATTAATTGTGCCTTACGTTTACAACATAGTGGACCCTTCACATTCAGAAGGGGCCAAAAATCCCTTACAGGCTCTCTGTAGGAATGCCAAACATCTCACCATCTTCCTTTTGTAGATGTCTTTCAATGGCTGATACACATGATGCACAAGTCATGCCCGTGATCTGCATAAAGCACTTCTCAGTTGTCAGTATACTGGGCCGTTTTGGAGCCTCTAGGAAAGAGATCTTTGGTGGAGTATTTGAGACATAACTTCGATCAGAGGGTTCAGGAATATTTCCAACTCTTTGGCAAGTTGACTCCAGAGCTTTATGTTGTATTTCAGCAGGCTTGGAAATAGGTGGAACGTTGTGCTTTCTTGTAGCGGTATCTTGAGGAAAAACACCCCACGAACAGAATGAACATGGTTTATGGCATGATAAAATGTTTCAAAGCAACAAAACATGGTCAGTGACCAAACTGTGCATAGTTTTCTACGAGTCAGGAGGAATACACTGTGGTCTTGGCTTTTAGCACAAGTAATCCAGACTTACCTTGTGTTATGTCTGCAGTGCTACAAGACTATTTTGCTTTATTCAGCATTCCAGCTTTAAAGATCAAAATTCCCTCCTAACTGTATACATACTATTATTTGTAGCTAGATCCTCATAGCAATTAAACCACTAAGGAGAATGCAGCCTAATTAGTTGTCCTGATCTCCTTCCCTGAAAGGCTTCATCTCAGCAACTGATCACTATGACAAGAGCAAGTGATACATCTCTCCATAAACTGTGAAGCAAACAATGATGTAGAAGGATATAGGCACAGAGAACTCACTTCAGTCCACACGGTAGTATTTATAGATCTCTCAAGATGAGGCGCAGTCCAATCAGTTGTTCCTCTTGTCGGGCACTGTGCAGTAGACTAGTCGGTCACCCAACAAAGAAACCCTAGCCCCAGGCAGATCCACAAACAACCTCTTTTTCACAAACTGTTCTTCCTCCCCCACTTTCTAGGAGTGATCTAACCACTAGGCTCTGATGTAAGGAGCAAGTGACGCCTCATCTCTTCCTTCTTCTGTTTTATTGAACAACACTCGAGAAGGGGCTTTGCTCAGTTTATAAAAGGATTGTACGTACCCACCCCCTGAAGAGGATTCATGACTATAGATCCCTTGCACACTGAAGCAGCATTTCCTCTCTCAGGTGCTAAGTATGCCTCTGCACTGTATGAGGAATCTCAGTACCCAGCATGGGGTTTCAGATTCCACTCCAGAGATTTAAAAATGTAGTTGCTGTAGTATTTATTGGCTTGCTCGCTCTCAATTGCTTAAAGAGCTATGCTCCTCTTTACAAATCCAGCTATTCTAAATGCTGGCATCAGCATTTAGAAGTTTTATGTTCAAAATATTTGGGGGGACTTAGCCAAAGCTGGTGGAGGTTCAGAAATCAACACTTCTTTCATTGTGGCCTGGTCAGATCAAGATGCCCATTAGGATCAGGATGAGAAATGTCCAATGGTGTCATATGGGATTCTGAGGTTCCAGAAGAGAGTGGGTGCAGGTAGCTTAAAAACTGTGGTGCTTCTTACTGTTCACTCATCCCTACTCCCTACTTTGTCCCACCCCACCACCACCAAAAAACAGCATCCTAAGAGATCAGAAGCCTCCTCCCATTAACTTTAAGCTGAAATGCTTTTCAGTAGTTTCAGCTGTAAACATTTCCTGCCATTCGCAGAATCATTCAGTTTACTGTACTTGCAGGCCAACCTGGGTCTTCACCAGTCCCCTCAGCACAGTTCTTTTAACAAATAGCCTCATTTGTACCAGATATTTGCCCTTGAGTTTTGCTGACTCACTTGACTTTGCATAACAAGCTAAGTTGGACTTTTGTTACTCTGCACAACCTGAAGTGCCAGCCTTTGCACAATATCCCACCACAGTTCTCACCACTGCTCCTAATTCTCCATAGCATGTGCCTTATGCACAATCATTTTCACTTGTGCAAAGTGGCTCTGAAAATCTGTTATTCTGATTTGTTTTACAAAGGTAGAAATGGCTTTATACAGGGAGCAATATAGAGAAGGGAGCCCTCTGGAGAGCGGAGAAGGGAAAATCTATTTCGAGAAGCCCTGACAGTGGCAAAACTCCCATTAAGATTAAGTGGCCAGGGTCTCACCCTTTATTTGATCTAAAATGATGTATCCCAAAGTATTATGCAGAGCTCAGCTTCAGTAATGCTTTATACAATTTTCCCCAATGTGTCTGATTGACAAGTTTCTTTATGTTTTTATGGTACCACTGTAATTTGCAGTGACCGTGATGAAAACTAGAATTATACACTGAATTCAGGGAGGCACCACCTCTGGCTATATTTACAATTATAATGGAAAAGAATTAAATAAGGTAATATACAGTGCCATTACACTAGAATTCAATCTTAAATAACCATGTTTTAAAAGTAATGCAAGTAGGATTTGTTTAAAAAATACCCTAGGTAGTATACAATTCCATACTTATGCAGGCAGACAATATTGGTGGAGATCAACTTTTCCAATGTCAAAATGCCACAAGGCAATTACAGCTGCTAGCTGTAAAACAAGTAGTATTTTTTAAAATACATCATGAAGCACAAGAGATCAAGTCATCTTCATCTATAAGTAGTCCTAGTGGCTTCAGCAGGTTTACTCCCGTGAGAAAGATTACCAGGATTTGGCCTCATGTATTAAAGCTGCTCAACTACAGGTGAATTGAAGCCTATATCAGTAGCTCAAAACAAAACTGTTTTGAACTGAAGTGGATAACTAGCCATGCTCTTAAACCCCCACCCCCAAAATAAATGGGATCAGCCCCATAGCAACATCTAAACCATTAAACCCATGAACAAAGTGTACTGACAGCACTACATTTGACTTATACAAATGCAGAGAATGTTCCTACCCCAACTGAAATCAATAGGCATTTTGGCACTAAACTCACCAGCAGCAGGATACAGACCCTTTGTACAACTGGTTAAAAGTTGAGGGACCAGAGATACAGCAGGATATTCCGTTAGGGAAATGTTTGCTTTTCATTTAAAGATATTTTATTAATATTTTACATTTTAAAATTCCTAGGGAAAAACAAGTAAGTTCGGTTTAGATTTGTATCTGTACCAGGCTATAGGAATAAGAGAAGAAAACTTAATTGATGAAGTGGCAGTTCACATGCGTTCAGAGATTGTCTGCTATTTAAAAAAAAAAAAAAAATCACTTATAGTACTTGTCAGGCTTTTCACTGCATATCGTAACTTTTCCCAACAGCAGCCACATTCCATGTGAAATTTATGGTCTGCAATATGTAAGCTGTACTAGACCATAACTTTTTTTTTTCTGGCCTTAAAAAAAAGTCCTATTTTTTACTCTCTCTCTCTTGAGATGCTAATAGGATGCCACCTGACCTAGCTTAAATTACTAAAAGAAAACTTGCACAGTACCTGTTAGAATAGCAGCATCAAACCCCATGTCTTCTATAGCAGTTCTTAGCTCTTCTGAATTAGTTACAGTTGAATCATACTGTATGGTCCCCGTCCTTTCAGCTAAAGAAACTGATATGTGTTGTACCCCTTTCCTTTGGGATATTGTGCCTTCAATAGACTGTACACAGGAACTGCAGCTCATTCCACCAATGCCAATTACAGTTGTGATAGGCAGTTGATCTCCAGGGGACTTGCTGAGAAAACAATAGGATGAAGATGCTGCCTTTGATAAAAGCTCTCCATTGTTTGCTTCTGCTCCATTAGGGAAGGATACTCTAAAGTTACCAGGCAGAAGGGTTTCAATGGATTGTTGTAAAGATGATAAGGTAATTAAGTTAGGGTTAAACTGTACAACAGCATTTTTATGCTCCAATGACACTTTAATACATTGTATGCCTGGGAACTCAGATATATTTCCTTCAATATTTTTGATGCAAGATGTGCAATGGATGCCTTCTATCCCTAGAGTCACAGTTGCTGTATTATTCATCTTGTCCACCAATGGATCCACATAACCACTGTTGAGGCCAGCTGCAACCTTCTGTAAGCCTTCTAAATCAATCCTACCAAGCTTTAGTGGGGCTAATTTGGTCTTAATAGTGCATTCATACCCCAGGTTATTTATGTGCTTCTTAAGGTCTTCAGGTTGAACAATGAAAGGCTGGTAAAGAATGACTGCTTCTTGGTTACTCAGGGAGACTTTTATTCTTGTCACACCATGTAGTTTCCCAACTGTACCTTCAATTGTATTGACACAAGACTGGCAGGTCATGCCTTCTACCCGAAACTTAACTACAGCTTCTGCTATAGACGTTGTTGATCTTAAAGATGATGGGATAGATTTTCCTTCTGCTATGCAGGCATCAAAACCCATGTCCTCAATTTCCTGACAAATCTGTTTGGGACTTATTTCAGACCGTATATATTTAAGCACAGCATTGCTGTGCTCAAGGGAGACCTTAATACTCACAATGCCCTTCACCTTGGAAATTCTGCCCTCTACAGAGTGCACACAAGATTGGCACGTCATACCCAAAATATTGACTGTAACCATGTCCATTTGAGACGACCCAGAGGGCAGGTTTTCAGAGTTCCCTTCATAGCCAATGTTGTCAAAGGCAAAATTCTGCTTCATTGTTGGCTTCCATACACAGCTTGCAGGGGTATTAGTCTTAGACAAAGCCTGAAATGCAAGACAAACACATACAAATGATGTACCTTTTGAGTTCTCACACAACAGTATTCTAGAGTTCAAAGCATTTCAAAGATAAGGGATGCCATCAAAATACATAACATCAAACACTATCAATAACTGGAGCTGAGTATCTAACCCTCACCTGTTTCTCCTGAACATGCTGACTTTAGTACCTAGAAATCCTCAACATGATTATTTAAAATTAAAGCCCTCAGCACACTCCCCTGGAGCTACAGCTTTGCTCTTTGCAGTATTTCTTCACCTTCTCAGTGGTTTACACCACAGAGCATTCTGAAAAATGATTAGGCCTCTGCCAATACTGGTAAGCTCCAGTTAGCCTATGCCAGGGGTGTCAAACTCATCTAACCCTGCAAACTAGATGAATAGTAAGGGGCTGATCCACAGGCTGGATCAGACCCATGGCTCCCCCTCCATCCCAGCATGCTAGAGCGGGTGCTGCACTATATACAGCACCTGTTCCAGGATCTGTGATGCTGATCCACTCCACTCCATCCCCCAAAGTTGGTGCCTGCTGCAGCCACTCTGAAACCCAGCCAAAGGATGCTGTGTGGATCTCAGAGCAGCTGGAACAGGCACGATATGCAGTATGCATCCTGGGCCCTGCCCACGGAACCAGTCTAGTGCATGCCATGTGCAGCATGTGGGTCAATTCAGATACAGGAACAGCACTAGCGGCCAGATAATGGGGACTGTAGGCCAGATCCGGCAGGTAGGCTGTATCTTTGGCACCCCCAGCCTGCACCATTTACTACTGCTCACCAAGAGTCAGTGACAATTATTAGAATTACTTCTACAGCCTGGAAATATAGGGGAGCAGAGAGGCCCAATCTTGTGAAACCTGAGGTTATGGACAGGTGTTCAATTCTGGTGCTGGAAAACATGAAGCGGGGGAAGCATACAAATGTTACAGTCCTCTGGCAAGGGAGCCTAAGGCAAGCTCTCCAGTCAGGAGGCGATAGGGAGCTGCTCCTTCAACTCCCCATCCCCAAGGCAGACAGCCTGTCCCCAGCTGATGCCATATGGGCATCTGCCTCCTGTGCCTTGCATAAACTGGGGCCAACCCCATCTGCGCAAGGTGTGTGAGACAGAGACAGGACAGCTGGACCCATCCTGCACCAGGACCCAAATGCAGGAGAATACTCCCAGCCAGAGTACAGCTCAGAGTCACCTGAACTGCACAGGGTAGGCGGTAGACATCCCACAGCTAGAACAATCCTGGAGCTGCAGGACATGGCTAGCTGTAGGAAAAAGCCTCCTGGTCCCTTTCTGCCACTCAGCTGATTGGATGGACGAGGCAATGCCACAAGGCTTGACCCATGGAGCCACAGGGGAATGCCCCCCCTCATCTGTTTAGTGGCAGCAATATCCCCATAGAGCTCCCTGCTAGCTCACACTGGGCAGGCTAGCAAGAAGCCTATGCTCTCCCACATTTCCTCCCTCCTGAAGGGAGGAAGAGTGAGAGGGGAAGATATGGGATACTGGGAATATTCCACTATCAGAAATGCACAGGTGCTGCAGCTGGCACAGAAGGAGAGATCTGCCTCATTAGATGCGGTCATTTTTTCACAGGAGGAAACAGTTCTCTTCCAGGAAAAAACCTTTGAATGGCTGCTCGCTCTCTCTTTATGCCAAAAGAAAGGCTTCTCTCCTGACAGGCTTCTCACCTGTCCATAGCCTGAGCAAACTGTATAGGTTCAAGAGCTCTTTTTTAACATTCTTATTAGCAGGGTCACTTTTTAAGAAGGGGTATAAATCTGTGCTTCAGAAGATAAATCAGCTATTAACTGATGGGAATTATGGAGAAACTCCCACAAAGTGCAAGTTATTCCATGGATGTCTGCTACATGGTTTCTTTCAGCTCCCTCCAAAGCATTTATTAAAGGCCAAATATCAGATTAGACAGCTCCACAGATCAAAGCCATACTAATTTTCAGGCTGCTATATCTAATTTTTTTTTTAAATTCACTCCTTAATACCATGAATGGGATCTTGTGACCTCAAAGTGCCAGGATCTGTAGTTTAGTGCATCCAATTAAACTGAAGAGTGACCGATTCGAAACTGAAGGAAAAAAAAACCCCCAAAAAACTTTTTCACCCACTGCATAATTCCACTGTGAAACACTGTCGCAGGCAGCTGTGGATGTAAGGGATATGGAGAACAATTTCCAAAGTTGTCACAGCTAACAACAATTTTTGCAGGACTATTAAGCCCCATGTTCTGGGCATAAACTAATCTTTAACTGTTAAAGTTCGGGGTATGAGCTAATGTGTGGGCCAGACTCTCTCTCATCTGTGTTGGGGAGATCACGCCTTCCAATGTTGTGCACTATTGGAGACAGAATATGGGACTAGGTAGGTAGTGTTTGAGTTTGAACCAGCATGCCAATTCCCACATTTCTATTACATGGGAAAATAAACTTTCTTCATACCATGAATACTTGTATTGGAATCATTTAGGCCACTTACTTGCACAAGAGTGAATCCAGCTCATTAGATGTTAATGAACTGTTTCGTGGGCAAACAGCTTGGGAATAATGATGTCTGGGCAAGGACCAACATGGAAAAAAAATGCAACACAGGCAATTCACTTTCACTTCAGTCCTCGCTCCACACTCCTTAAATCCAGAGGAGCTTATCACAATCTATTATATGAAATTCACAATAGATCCCAAGTCTTGAACCAAACATCACCAGGCTTCAGGTATCAAAGGTAGAAGGAGGCATACAGCAAGTTCTAGACCTGTCACAAAACTGTTCTACTTAAAACAATCTAAATCTTTGCCTGGAAGTGACATGAAAGAATCCTGAAATAAATAGAGGCTTCTGGTTTAGTTCCTATTAATCCTGCAAATTATCTTTCACTAACAGAATCCAGGTTTATTATATTGAGCAGAGTAGTGTAGCAGATAAGAACTGGCTACCATTCATTCAAATATCTGATAAGCCCCTCTAGTATTGCTGTCTATGCCTCAGAAGCTAATTGTACATACACAGCCTTTCACATGACATATTTTAGAAAACACAGCTAGATCTTACTGTACTTGTTTTGCTCTTTATATTGTATGTTGTTGTCTTCTGCTTTTCACACAAGTGTACACCACTTCTTCCAGTCCATTTGGCAAGTGTTCACATCCATACATCGCAAGAATGATCCAAGTATGCCATTTTGAATAGAAAACCCCTACCCTATTCTCCCAACCCCACTACTGATCAACAAGAATCGTCTATGACATCATTCCTAACTTTTCTAATAACAATAAATGATTTGGAGTTTCAGAAACCTGTATGCTGCCAATACCATTTTGAAAAAAACAATTCAAACACTGAAGCCAAGTTCAACTGGTTGTGCTTCCCAAGATTCCCTACCACGTTACTTAAATCAACCATAAGTATAAGGCATCAAACTCTATATGACAATGAAGTGAGTCACTAATGTGCAGTACTGTTACCAAGATTCAGGATCAAACTGGCAGGTATTTTTAAGCTTAATCTTGCGGAGTCATGTTGAACAAGGACAAAATATATGCACATGGTTGCTTACATGCTCCTGTGATTTCCTCCACTTTACAAAGATCTACTCCAATAAAGTCAAGCAAACAAGTGTTAAAAAAGGATTCCCTCACTTGCCTAAGCAAGTCCTAATCAGAGGCATAAATCTCACTTTGCACATTGAAATGTACTTAGAAGACAATGTTTGTCTTGCACAGACGTACTATTTGCTACATCCTCCAAGCAGTGTGCATGAAAGAATAGGTGGGGACGTACACTGTTTATCCCCTGCTCCAGTTTGTAGTGTTTACATGAAGAAAAAAACCCCCACATGATTGTGAACAATCTGCAAGCAAAAGATAGGTCCTCCCCACCTCTCAAACTCCTGTTAGCCATTTCACCTTTTTTCCCCCCACCTCTCTCTCTCTCCTTTGAGACACCCAGTGAAATAAAAAGCCATTCAAATAAAGTTTAGCAGAATGGGAGGAAAAAAACAGAGGTCTCAGTATCCAGTGTTGAAAAGCGGTTATGAGCCAACAACTTCTAGAATGGATTTCTCTCTCTGGACTTTATATGTATTTATTATAAGATATTTAATAAGCCGATAGTTTATTGCTTGGTAGCTTCCAATGCTCCAAAAGGAGAGAGAGAGAGTTAGTTGTGCAAGTCTGAAATCAAGCAGAAGGCTGGCCAGGGTGGCACCTTAGAGACCAATTGTCTACATCAATCATACCAAACTAATGGGGCTAATTTGCTTGATAGTGCTTTCATAACCCACATTATTTATGTTTCTTGAGGTCTTCAGATAGAACAAAGAAAGGCTAGTAAAGACCGACTGCTTTACTCAGGGAGACTTATTTTTGTCACACCACATATTTTCCCAAATGTACCTTCAGTGCTGTTGTCACAAGTCACTGTTGACCTTAGGTTACAAACAGACATCACCTTTGTTGTGCCACAAATGTAGAATCTAATGTACTGCACAGGAGTAGCCTGGAGTTTTGGTGGTTGATGCTCAGCCAAAATCTGGAAGTGCTTCCAGCTGGTACTGTGCCACCTCCTAATTGCTTGTGAAGAAACTATTATTTCATTTGACAGTAACTACTTGCCCTGAGTATACAAGAAACCTGAAACAAAAGAAGGACTCCCCAGATTTTAGACCAATACTTTAATTTTCCCTCTACCACCACTCCACCACAAAGTATTAGGTTTTCTAGGTCCTTTGACTCCAAAGTAATGCAAGGCTACCTTATGCCAAAGGTAAAGGAGGCCACGATCCCCAAGCTGAAGGCTGGTAAAGAGGAGAGGCGCAGCTCCAACAACTAGCACACTGAGGAAATTCTGCATAAGGAAATGGGAGTCTTGCCTTAGTTTAAATCAGGTCTGCTCAACCCCTGGCCCATGGGCCAGATCCAGCCCCAGGAAATGATCCTGCCCATTGGGATCCGGGGTGAGAGGCAAGGTGTGGGGGATTGGCG